AGAGGCCCTGTGTTGGAGGGGTGACCACTGTTGATGGCCTGCCCCCCCAGGACAGGGGGACTCCCCACTATCCACCTAGAAAATGCTGTGTCTGTAAGCATCTGTCTGGATGGGGCATTCGAAAGAGCCAGGGGGCTGCTCTCAGTATAGACTCCTGCATGAGACCTGCCCTTCCTCATCCCCCTTGTTGACCAAATGTCCAGTGGCTGCTCTCAGCCCTAGACTCCTGCATGAGACCTGCCCTTCCTCACCCCCCTTGTTGACCAAATGTCCAGTAGCTGACCCTAAGCACAAAGGCACCTGGCCAGTAGCTGAAAGCGGGCATCACCCATCTAAATCTTGGGAACCTCTGCGATAACACTGTGGGTGCCTCCGTAGGCACAGAGGTCACGTGACCGGGACCTTCCCTGTGCTTCTCAGTACCAAAGAAGCAGGTTGAAGCAGTGAAGACCCCTGAGAGCTCCCTGTTGGGTCACTAGTACCCCGTGCTCCCTTCCTGCATGAGGCTGCTGTGAACGTGCATCCAGCCGAGGAAGCACGCCCTGGCTAGCCACAGCCTCTCCCGAGCACAGTCCTCTCCGTCAGCAAGCGCCATCTGTGTTCCTGAACTGCCTTGCTGGGCTCTGAAGCGCCCAGGGGCAATAACGGTGCCGTCATAAACCAGCGACTTCCTTCCTCTCTTGGCACTAGAAGCCACCCTCTTCCACTTCTTGGTGAAAGAGCCCAGGATTCTGGAGACCCTCCCACCATCACTGTGAAGATCTCATTATGTTTGTGCCCTGATGAGAAAAGAGCCTGCCTAAGACGTAAGATTGAAAAGAAGATTGAAGCAATTCCAGCCCTATGTACTCACTGGGAGGCGCCTTCTGTGACTAAGAAGAAAACCTCTGAAATGTGCCCCTTCCCCAAGAGTGTGGACACACACCCCACCCTCCCTGGCCCATGTGCGTGTGAGTGCATGTGTGCGTGTGTGTGTGTGCGTGTGGGTTAGCTCCACACAGGAGCCCGTCAGTGCAACCTAGGAGGGCTGGAGGGTGAGGCTAAGATCCTTGATGATACTCTGGAAGCATGGGATTTCCAGATCCCAGTTTTAAATTCAGGGAGAGATTCGTACTTGCATTTTCCTGGCTCACGTTCATGCTCAGGAATTAATTTTTAATAGTTGTAGAGCATTCCTTACATGTATGAATGTCTTCTTGTTCCAGAAGAATTCTGAAATTAATATTGCATCTGGCAGTATCTGTAAGCCATGTTCCCTTTCCCCCCTTAGAACAGCATGAGCATAGAAGTTTTTCTATATCGAAAAATTGGTCCCAACCTTTAACAAGAGGAATCTTTTAAAGATACATGTAGATTGCTGGTTATTTAGCATGGAATGTTACCTTGAACACTGAACATCATGCATTCAGATGTTTCAACCTCACCTCTCCTACGTGGCTTCGGTGTGAATCAATTCCAGTTCAGGTTCCAATGTCCTTCAAACTCTGACCCTCTATGGAACTGTACAGTAACTGACATTGGTTATGGGGGTGTCTGCTGCTTCCTGTACATCTTCCTTGCACAGCCATGGAGGCCGGGCCCCTAAGATGAGTACACAAAGTCCTGGGGCTGGGAAACAGTGGCAAGTAACAAGATGGGAGCTGGGAGCTGCAGGCCCTCTCCTCATCCTCCCAGCTCCCCACCTGCAGGAGCCCTTGGGGGTAAGGACACTGTATCAAATCCCCTTGGACCTGGTCTGTGGCCTCACCAGCACTGTTTGTTGACTGACTTGCTGTGCTTCCTTTTGAGAAACTGGCAAGATGAGTTGCTGAGGACAACAACAGTGTTCTGTCTGTCTCCCAAGATAAGAAATACGAGAAGGGAAAAGGAAATTCTACAGCAAACCAGGCCTTCCATTCAACTTAAAGATAGAAAGCACCAAAGTGCAAAATATCTATAAATAAAAAGAGAAAATAGTACCAAGTCACCGACACTAAGTCTCAAGCTGGTCATCCCCCACCAGACTTTACAGAGGCCAGGGTTGGAAGGGGATGGGTCAAGGCCTGGAAGTGAGTATGGACACGGGGTTCGTGGATAGGGGCAGGAGCACTAACGGGGCCCCTCCAAGCACTTGGCTTCTGGGGAGAACTCAGAGAACTCTTTTGGCAACTGAGCAGTTAAGGAGAAAGAAAAGGGGGGCCCGGGTATCCCACAAGTCAAAACTTTGTTCTGCTGACAGAAGAGAGCGCCATTAAACAGAGATTGTTTTGAAGCAAAAAAAAAAAAAGCACCCCAATAGCACTAAATTTGCAAAGAAAAATCAATCAAATACAGAGCTGCTACAAAATAAACATGAGGAACAGAACAGAACTTCATGGCTCTCAATGATAAGGATGCGGGCCTTAAAGGAAACAGCTAGACAATTCTCCCACTTTAGTGCTTCCAGGCAAAAACTATCTGATTCTTGCCACTGGCCACTGCTGCAGAACAAGGGCTATAATGAGAAGAAATGGAGACATAATAGCCTTTCCCAGTGTCAAGGTAACTAAATCAATAGGCATTTGACACCCCTAATTGCCCACAGAAAAACAAAAGGCAATTTAGAGGGAATGAAATGAGCTATAAAGAAGATATAAGAAAAATGAAAGGATTAAAAAGTCCAAAATGATCTCCAAGTAAATTCAATATCCAAGAAGATAAACATCATAGAGCTCTTTTCAAAGAAAAGATACCATACCCACAACTACCCACCAGGTAGTAAAAAATGCAAGCCTGATCCTAATAGATTTCAGCCTGGGATGTAGGCTAGAGTAGGGGTTGGTTTTGTGGTTCCCATCACCTTCTGGAATGGATGCTAAGGACTCCACTAATTTAGAAAGTCCTCTAGGTGTTAGAATGATTAATCTGGTCTCAAAAAAGAAAATGGAAAAGAAAATGAATGCTAAGAAAAATTACCTAGCTGATGTGTCTAAACACATGCACCCAGAGAAAAAGATCAGAAACACGGCTCTATTTGTGAAACATGCCCGATCAATAACAAAGACCATGCTTATTGGTTTTACTTGGCTAGAAACCACTTTGTTATGTTGGCATGAGATAAATAATCTAAGAATGACTCCTCAAGGAAAACCCGGGAGTCAAGTAATTCACATTGCTTTGGAATTATTGCTGGCTTTGGATCACATTGCTTTGGAATTATTACTGGCTTTGGAAATCACCAATTATTGACCCCAGAAGGGAAAAACATAGAAATACAGAAGCAAATGAAAAGAAACATGGAGGCCACATGAGGAGGCGTGCAGGCCCACTCCCCAAGAAAACAACCGTAATTGGTGATTTTTTAAAATGAGTATCTGAAAATTGTCTTGAAGGCATACAACCAGTGACAAGACATTTATTCGAGAAGGTTTTCATAAGAGCTGGAAGAGTTAGTGGCGGTGGACCATAAACCTCTCCACCCACATTCAGCAGATGACTCTGGTTATATCGAGTAGACAAGGTTCCCCCCCCCCCCAACTCAGCTAAAAACTACAATATTTCCCTCCAAGAGAAGCAGGCAACTCAGATTCCTCTCTCCAGATCTATTTTCAGAGCCTAATTCAGGAGAATTTGGGTCAAGAAATCAGGGCTGTCTTCCTCCACTCAGCCCTCACTCAAAGGGGGGGAGTTCTACCTGAGATGCCCCTTACCGAGACTGACTGTCCTCACCCCTGCTCACTTGTAATGCGGATGGCCCAAATCAGCCACACAAGCCCAGAAACTGATCTGTACGCTGGCTAGGTTCACCAAGAAACCCAAGAAAAACAACTAAAAATAATTATCTCAGGGTCTGAACAAACCTCCAAGACTGGTCTCAAAAACTACCACTGTAAAGGAAAGCGAACCTAGTTGGATCACCCTGTGGAAAAATGTATAACCTGGTGTATTGCCAAGACCAGGAGAGCAACAGTCGGGAACCCGTGAAGTCTAAGGGCTATCATGACAGCGAGACTCCCAGGAAGGTCCTGATGTAGACCTACATGACTGAATATAAGCAAAGACTTAGACTTCAAAGAGAGACCTGTCTTAAAACCAACAACAACAGGCCCTCCCTGGTGGCGCAACGGGTTAAAGCACTGCACTGAGAAGCTAAAGCCACTTCCGCAAGAGTTCGATTCTCGCCTGCCCCAGCGGTGACCACATGGCTCCACAGACCTCTCCTGGCCTGCCCGCTGCTCCCCTCAGCAGTGTACTTCGTCGATCTGCCTGTTCTGCTCCCCATTCTGTCTCTGGTGAAGCCTCTCACTGCCCCTGGGCCTCTGGCCTGTACCCCAGTTCTGTAGGCACAAATAAATAAATCTTTAAAAAAAAAAACCAACAACGACAAAAAGTGTCAAGGTTTAACCCAGAGTAGAATGAAAACTGAGTAAGTCTATCACAAAGTTAAGGTAATTAATAGGAGGCATTTGAGGTGCTTGGGGGACCCTTTGAGAACGAGTATTTTTCTGTCAACAGATCTTTGTATTTGAGGAGGACACAGGCTTGTAAATCAAGTCTCCATATTGCAAAGCACTGTGAAAAATTCTGTCAGAACAATTGAAATTAAAGCAATATATATTATTCACACTTTTTGTGATAATGTCTATTCCATGATAACAGGCTATTTACTCAATTACACAAAATGAAACAGATCAAAGTAATACACCCTGTAAATTTTAAACTAACAAGTAATTTTGCTCCAAAACCAAGTTAGAGAAAACCATATTTTATAGTAAATGAAATTAGAGCAAGTTTACAAACCATAAAGCTGGCTTAAGAAAAAACAACATATTCATAGCGGAATAAATTATTTTATCAGAATATGTATGTGGCTGAGATAGAAATCATGGTTTCACTTAAAATGGTCTAATTAAAACCTCCATTATTTTCCACTTAGAGGACCTGTAGAAAGACACATATTTAAGCTCCCTTCATTCATTAAATAAATTAGGAAATAGAAAAATCAGGTAGAAAATTGTATTACAAAGGTTCTACAGTCTTACCTCCATCAGAACAAAAAGCGCGGCAAAGAACAGGAGTGTTGCCCACTCCACTCTATGTAGAATTATCTCAAAATCATGAATATCAGCTAAAATCAGCAACCAGATGGCACCCAGAATAGCAATCCACCCTGAAAAATAAATAAATGGTCACATAGAGACAGGCCAGTTGTTAACCCCAAAATTTGCATCTTCCTGGTGCTCTTTTCTTTCTGTATTGAGGATAATTTCCATTCTGCAATTTTTACATTAAAATGTACAATTTAGATTTTAACTGATGTCTCCACCCATGAAACCTACAGTACAACCAATATATTGAAATGAACATAGTCGCCCCCAAGTTTACTCAAGCCCATAGGGATGTCCCCCGCCACGCCTCCTGTCACTCCACTGCCAAGAACCTGTCCTCTCTTGACTTTCACCACAGGCTCTGTTTACATTTTCTATGAATACAATCATACAGCATTTGTATTTTTTTGTTTGTGTCCATTCAGCACAATTATTTGAAGATTCTTCAATGTTGTTGTGTGGATTAACAGTTCATTCTTTTTTATCATTCCATAGTTTGCCATTTCATAGCTATGCTGCAAGATATATATACACATGCACCTGCTGACAGACATTCACCTTGCTTCCAGGGTTTTGCCACTGCGCATGAATATACTATAAACTTTCATACATAATCATCTCTGCGGATCCCTTCTTGTAGTTGTCTTGGCTAAATATCAGGAATGGAATGACTGGATCATATGGTAAGTTAGTGTTAGGATATATTTGTTTTAGGAACTGTAAGGCTGGATCCTAAAATGGTTAAACCATCTTACAATACTAACAGTGGCATATGAGAATTTCAGTTCTTCAATACTTGATCAGCCTTTTTGATTCTAGTCATTGCAGTTGCTATGCCATCCCATTGTGGTTTCAAACGATATTTCAAACGAATTTCAAAACCTGGTTCTTTGAGGAGGTCGAGAAATTTAATTTTTTTTTTAAATAGCCAATTTGAACAGGAGAAAACTAAACATTGCCCATATCAAGAGTCAGACCCATGGCATGGTGAGAGATTATACAGGCACGAAGGGAGTACTGGTTTCCTACAACTGCCATAACAAATTACCACAAACATAGTGTCTGAAAAAATACCCAATTCTAAAATAACAGTTGTCATAGATGAGAAAGATGATGGCCTCAACCAGATGTCTGAATAAAGCCTCATCAAGACAAAGTCAAGGTGTCTGCAGGACTGTATTCCTTTCCCAGGATTCTAGGAGAAAATCCACTTCCTTACTCATTTGGATTGTTGATATAATTATATTCCCTTGCAGCTGTAAGTCCCAAATTCCCTTATTAATTATGTTAAATCTACTCTGCCTGTGCTTTGTAAATGGAACAACAAAGCCTGAGTGACAGCACATCTGTTTCCAGCATGGTGTACTGGATATTTTAAGCCCACCGTTGAGAGCCACTCAGAAAAAATAAATGCCTTTCAAAATATTACTGCTCATTGACAAATAATGCGCCAGACCACCTAAGGGTACTGACGAAGATACACAAGTTCATGAATGCTGTTTTCATGCCTGCATACACAATATCCATTCTGCAGGCACAGAGCAAGGAGACACCTGGACAGTCAAATCTCAGTATTTGAAAAACAATTTATAAGGCTAGAGCTGCCATAGATGGTGATTCTTCTGATGGCTCTAGGCAAAGTCAGTCAAAAGCTATCTGGAAAGGCGTCACCATTCTAGGTGCCACTAAGAAGATTGGTGGCACATGAGAAGAAGCCAAAAATTAACAGTCTTAATGAAGTTGATTCCAGTTGATAGCAGTAGAGCAAGTAACTGAAGATGTAGGGGAAATAGCATGAGAATTAACACACAGCGTGGGCCCTGAACATATGACTGAATTATCACAAACTCAAAATAATACTTGAATGAATGAGGAATTACTTCTTATGGATAAACAAAGAAAATGGTTTCTTGAGATGGAAACTATTGCTGGTAAAAATTCTATGAACACAGTTGCAGTGACAGCAAAGGACACAGACTATTATATAAGTTTATTTGATAAAGCAGCAACGTGGTTTGAGAGACTGACTCCAGTTTTAAAAAAACATTCTATACTGGGGAAAATGCTATGAAACATATCATATGCTATTTGATGAGAGAGAATCTTTGTGAAAGGAAGAGTCCAATGATGCAGCTAACTTCATTATCTTTCTTTAAGAAGCTGCTACAGATACCCCAACCTTCAGCAACTATCCTCATCAATCAGCAAATGAAGGTCAAGGTAAGATCCTTCATCAGCAAAAAGATGTGACTCACTGAAGGCTTCAATGATGATCGGCACTTTTAGCAATAAAGTATCTTTAAATCAAGGTACATATGGTTTTTTTTTTAAAAGACAGTGCTATTTCACACTTACTAGACTAGTCTAGTATAAAGAGAACTTTTTTAAAAAGATTTATTTATGCACACAGAGCTGGGATACAGGCCAGAGGTGCAGGGTAGTGAGAGGCTTCACCAGAGACAGGCCAACTGACGAAGTACACTGCTGAAGGGAGCAGCGAGTGGGTCAGGAGAGGTCTGCCACGCCATGTGGTCACCTCCGGGGCCAGGGATCGAACTCATGCTGAAATAGCTTTAATTTCTTAGCGTTGTGATTTACCCTGCTGTGCCACCAGAGAGGGTCCTAAACACAACTTTTATACATACTGGGAAATTAAATGTTCAAGTGACTTGCTTTATTGCAATACTCATTTTGTTGCAGTGGTCTGAAACCAGTCTCCAAATATATTTCCTAAAGAATTCAAGTCAGGAACTGTTTTAAACAGATATTTGAACACTAATATTCATAGCAGCATTATTCACAGCCATCAAAAAGTAGAAGCAACCTCTGCTAATCATCAGATAAATTGATAAACAAAACGTTGTATAGACACACAGTGGAATATTATTCAGCCATAAAAGGAATTAAATTACGACACAAGCTACAACATGGATGAAACATCAAACATCACTCTGACAGAAGTAAGTCAAATACAAAAGGACAAAATCATACATTGTAAGATTCCACATACATGAAATACATAGAATAGGCCAATTCATAGAGATGGAAGGTATATTAGAGGTTACCAGGTCTTAAAGTGGGGAAAGAAAAGGGAAATATCACTTAATGAATGCAGGGTTTTTGTTTGGGATGATGAAAATTTTAGAAACAGACAATAGTGTTGGCCATACAACATTGTGACTATAACTGACACCACTGAGTTGTACACTTAAAAAAGGATAAAGTGGGCCCTCCCTGGTGGCGCAGCGGGTTAAAGCACTGCACTAAGAAACTAAAGCCACTTCCGCATGAGTTCGATCCCGCCTGCCCCGGAGGAGATCCACATGGCGTGGCAGACCTCTCCTGACCCACCCACTGCTCCCCTCAGCAGTGTACTTCATTGATCTGCCTGTTCTGCTCCCCGCTCTGTCTCTGGTGAACCCTCTCACCCTCCGCATCTCTGGCCTGTACCCCAGTTCTGTACGAATAAATAAAAAAAAAAAAAAAGGATAAAGTGGCCCTCCCTAGTGGCGCAGCGGGTTAAAGCACAGCACTAAGAAGCTTAAGCCACTTCCGCATGAGTTCGATCCCGCCTGCCCCGGAGGAGATCCACATGGCGTGGCAGACCTCTCCTGACCCACCCACTGCTCCCCTCAGCAGTGTACTTCATTGATCTGCCTGTTCTGCTCCCCACCCTGTCTCTGGTGAATCCTCTCACCCTCCGCATCTCTGGCCTGTACCCCAGTTCTGTATGAATAAATAATCTTTATTTTTTTTTGCAACAGTAAAAACATGTAAGAAGGACATAATCCTGGAGCATGTGTGAAGGCCTTATATAGCATAGTACTGAGGCCCTAACCTGTAGATAGAGAAGTCACTTAAGATTTCTCAGAGCAGGAGGTGGATGGCCAGATTTTTCCACGTGTGCAGCTATCTGTACTGATTAGACTTCAGTACTTTCTGACATCTCCAGAGCACCAACCCCACAGTACTGAAGATAAATAGCCACTTGCCTACCTGATCTATCACATCTGATGCTTGATCCCTTGATTGCACAGTTAAAGATAAATAGAGCATCATATCTTTTCTTTAAATCCTCAGGGAAAAAGAAAATTGCACCAGTTGTACTTGCCCTGAGTAATGTTTTTCCACAATCAGGAATGGCATCCCATTGTCTGCTGCTTATATGGCAAGAAGAATCCCTTTCTAAGAGTCAGTAACAACACAAGCTATTTTCCGTGATCCTAAGAGAAACTGCAATAGAGACACGAAGATGGACCTTCCTCCAAAACTCTCTTCATAGTTCTATTTTCCTTTAGTATTTGTGGCGGGCTGAGTGTTCTTCCAGCCAAAACTCCTGTCACAGCGCTCATCAATCCAACTTCAGTATAGGTTCTATTTTCACAAAGCTTTGTCATGTCAGAAAAAATACCCTGCAATAAAAATGCCCCACAACTGAATAAAGCCTCACCTTGCCCCTGGAAAACCTCAATTTCTCTCTTAATTTTAATTACACTGCCTGCAGGGCCAGTGGCCCTAATCAAGCAGCCTGTGCAGAAGCAAATCCACTTGACAATGTCTGACACCTTCACTGAGTCCAGGTAGCACCTTCTAACAGGTTCCCCAGATCACTAACAGCAATATTTCATTCTGTTCCTCTCAGCACTGGCTCCACAATATTAGTGATTAAGGCTGAAGCGATGAGCTCCTTTAAGGTGTCTTTAAGGAAAGACAGTTGATGGGAACCTCACAATTTCTCATTTCACATTCTGTTACAAATTCCAACAATGTGTTCTTGAGACTCATAAAAATTAAAACTTCGTTATGTGTCAAGGCTCATGGATAAAAAAGCAGCATTTAGCTGAACTTCTGTCAACCCCTTGAACAGGTATTAATCTCACTAAGACTTCTGCCATTCCTCAAAGCCATACATGTACTTTCTCATTCAAATCTCCAACAGAACCAAGTTTCAATGCAGAACCAAGAGCTCAAGGGGACTTTTCTCCCATCCCAAAAACCCTGGGCAGGACTCAAAGAAACAGAGAACAAAGGGTCTCAGCCATTCACTGAATGGCCTCCTTGA